ATAATTTTCACATTTCTTAAATGCACAACCTGTATTTGACTAAAATTCCATCTTCCCTTCAATATCGTCTATTGCATTTCCCAGGTAGTAGTTTTTTTGGGGGGAGGGGTTGCTTATGAGGGTTTATTGATAATTGTTTTTAAATTTAGTCAAGTTTGACAGTTCATCTCACTGCAGCATATAGCAGATTAGTAGTAGTAAAACAGCATATAGCTGTTTCTGAGAGCAGCCCTTTGATGGCAGGTCCAGTTAAACAAGAATGTTTGCAATTTGTAGAGCAGGCCTGGTTCGCTAATAATGTAATTATTAATACACTAGTTGAAAAAATAACTGATATTATATTTTTAATATGACATACATTGTTAAAGATAATTTATTGTGCATTTGTATTTTTCAGAGGTAGCATACTTAAGAGTATTACAAAAACGTAAAAACTAAAATTATTGCAATAATTTTAAGAGTATCTCATTTTTCTTATTATATTAACCCTGCTTTGTTATATCAATCATAATATTTTTAGAAATAAGCAAATCTTTAAACATGCCATTTATAAATAACTGAAATTCACATAGCTGTGTCCTTTTTTTCTTTTTTTTTCCCCTTTTTGTTTTTTAAGAGAAGCTGTTGTTTTAGGGAGCACTGATTTTCTAGAAGATGATATAGAAAAAATTGTAGAAGAACTGGGAAAAGAATACAAAGGCAATGCTTATCATTTGATGCATAAAAACTGCAATCACTTTTCTTCAGCTTTATCAGAGGTAAGTAAATTAAATTTCATCCCTAAAAGTTGTTGAAATAACATATATTCGTATACTTGCTTTCCTACTATATTTAATCTTGATTCATTTTTTCTGATTTTTTGTTATGCAAAATATACTATATTTCCTCCTCCTGTATGAATGACCTTTCCAGAGAATGGCTTTAGAATCAGCATAATTTTAAATGGTAATTCTGTTCATTACTTTGCTGTGGGTAGAGAGTAAATACAAATAATTGTATTTTTTAAAAGTGGAAGTTGTAGGTTGTAAAATAAACATGTTTAGAGAATTGTGCTGCTTAGCCACTAAGATTTTCCTTTTGCTAAATTTTAGTTGCCAACTTGAATTTTTTCCTGGCTCTTAAGTGATTCATCTCTTCCACTTTAAAATTCTAGTCTGCTAACATATCACACAGACTCTTACTTTCTTCTCAATTCTTGAATCCAAACAGAAGATCAAAACTAGATTGAAATTAAAGAGCCATAAAAAGAAAATAGAAGGAAGAAGTCAAAAAGATTCTAACATAAGGTCTAGAGAATTAAACAGCAGTTGAAACAGCTTCCCAACTTTCTGACTCCTTAACAGGTGATTGCAGTGGTGGCATCAGGGTACCCCAGACATTGTGAAAGTGAGGAGGAGAAAAGGAGCTGCTATTTTGGTAACCTCCTTTGCAGAAATGTTCAGCTATCTAGCCTTTTCACTTCCTC